GAGGAATGTGTGTTAACTGCTGCGAGGATCCACCTAGTCCCAAACGTGAAGGGAGCCATTGCTGGCTGCCGATAGCACGGTCCTTGGTCTCCACAGATGCCACATGTGTGTCGTGAGCACGGCCCCACTGCCCACTCCACCAAAGGTATGTTTGCTGGAGTCATCCCAGCTCTTTGTTTCATAGACATGAACGGTCCCGTCAAAGCCTTGGTTAAAAGGAACAACAGAACTGGTATACAGCCTTGAGCAGGAAGCCCTATGACCCCGTTCAACCAGTTACATCCAGCTCTCGTTCAGTGCCCTCTCTGGAAAGTCAGGGAAGAAACACACCAGGGCAGACACCTGGTTAGAGGCTTTTGTGCAGCTCCCAGAGTCGGGGCTGGTCTCGGCAGGAGGGAAACTGCATCCCCGTGAGCAGCGTTGGTGGCAGCTGCTGAGGGACGCTCTGCAATGACTGCTGCCCAACTCCACCGTGAGCCACGACAGGAGCCTGGTCAGCGCATGGCCTCGGAGATGCAGACTGCCGTGGGCCTGGGCACTGAGCCAGAGTCAATGGCACTAGACACATGCAGCCACGGAGCTTCCCCCTTTCTCCCAATACTCCCCCGAAACAGCAAGGCATCCCTCCAGGGCTGGAGCCCAGGAAACCCAGGAACTCCGTGTTCTGCCCAGGCACAGGGGCTTTGCACGTGGCCTGTTTCAAAGGCGTTGAGCCGCCTCTCAAATCCGTCAGCATGAGTTGCCCCCCAAATGAGAAGCAAGCTGCAGCGAGCGCCCCCCCCGTCAGGGCTGTGCCCCACACCCATGCACCAGTGCTCTGCTCCCAGGGCCGACGAGACGGGTGCACCCTCCAAAGGACTTGGCGGCTGCCGAATATCCACCAAGCTGAGTCGTCCCTTCATGGAGCAGACAAGAAATGTGTTGCAGGAACTCCAGGCCACCGACCTCGTCGCTGTTGCTAGAGGCTCAGAGAGAAGGAAGAAGCTCAGGAGTCAGAGGGAACGGCGCGGTTCGGAGGCTGCTACTCCAGCCTCTATTTAGGGGCAGGACAAATGAGCGGGCCGGAGCACGCTCCTCAGTGGGTACTAGGGCTGTCTTCCTGGAGGCAACTTCATGAATTGAGGGGCAAGAGTTTTTCAGCAGGACTGACCACAGGGGGCTGGAGACGGTGCAAAAGGAACCGTGGGGTCGCACACCTTTCACAGCCAACAGTCGTGATGGGAACACGGAGGGGCAAACACAGACCCCTTGATGCCATTCTCTTTTCCCACAGAACCAGGCTCCCACCACATGCTCAGGGTGGCTCCTGAACAGAGGTAACTTCCATTTGCATGGCATGGGGAAGTAGCAGGACTGGCCCAGGTTCACAAAGGGTATCTAAGTGCTGAATGACAAGTCATTTTAATGGGAGTTTGCCACTTAAACACCTTGGAAAGTCTGGTCCCAAGCGCCCATGTTACTTGGGTCTCATTGACTGAGAAGGAGTTTTTAAAGCATGACCCCTATATGCTTTGAGCACTGATACCCCACCTTCCCCAACCCCCAGCACAGCAAAGGCAGGCAGTGTTTTGTGGTCAAATACCTGCCCTGTAGATGCTTCTCTACGACTTGATCTCTGCAACTTGGATGTTGCTAACTCTTGAGCCATGAAGCACCCGTGGGTGCCGTTGCAATTTTGGCCCAAGATTTCTCACTGCCATGTACTTACAAAATTAATAACATCTATGAGAGAAAAGAGGAGAAGAGCTTTACCACAGTGCAAGGCCTCGCTGATCTACTGCACGGACGTGCTCGGTCAGCATGCGGACATACAACCCGACCGATTCCTTGTATGACTCAATTCTCTTCCAAGGCAAAAGCACCGTGTCTGCTGGACATGCCGTGACAGGCTAGTTAGAAACCCAGCAAGTCCAAGCTGGGAAGTGTCAAGCTAGTGGTTTGCAGTCACTACAAGCAGAATAAAATTGATGGCACTTCAGAGCCATAGATGCCAAGTGGCTTTACAAAGGCAGATAAAACACCACGACCAGACACAGGGCAGGGGAAGCAACATGTAATAGCTGACAACCCGCCAAACCCTTTATCTTGTCCTGCTCACAGCTATCAGATCAGCACCCGCTAAACGAATGGGCTTTGTGCAAATGCTTGCAAAAGTTAAGGAGCAGCTGCCTGGTGCGAGGCAGGTCCAAGGTGTGAAGAGGGATGAGAATCCCGGTCTCTCCGCCCTCAGGCTGGTGCCACAGCCACTGGGCTCTGCTGCCTCCCCAGTGGAGGAGCACGAACCCAAGTGTCCAGCCAAGCAGATGCCTGCAGGGCAGGGGACTCGCCCCGCCACCAGTACCAATGGGCAGAAGTCAACAGGCTGCAGCTGCAGGAAGAAGCTGGAAACAGATGTCAGGGCCTGCAGGAGGGGAAGTGAGTTCCCAGTTCATGCCTAGCAGAGGCATGGCCATGGCAGCATCGCCGTCCGGAGCAGAGTTGCTGTGGCCACAAGCCACCTCCTAAAGCAGGGGTGAGCAAGATACAGCCTGCAGGCAGGATCTGGCCTGTAAAGGGATTTTATTCAGCCCATGGTGGGTCCCTTGCGCCTGCTCGGCTCAGGAGGAGGTGGCAGCCCAAGCCTTGGTGCGTGCAGCCAGTCCCAGGCACGTGACAGGGTCGCAGCCAGACTCAGTTTCCGGGCAGGCTCCACAGTGGTGGCTCACTGCCTGGCTGCTGCTGCCAGTCCAACCTGCGCCCACGACCAAGGGTGCTGGACAGTGTGGTGAGCTAAGCCGGGCAGAGGGGTTGGGGCTGTGGGTGGTCAGGAAGTGGCATCCAGGACCTGGATGGATGGCCTGAGATCACGGGGTGACAACAGCATGGGGCTGAGGCGTGATCCGCTCCCCACATATCCCAGCCTGTGGAACTGGTGCCACCACAGGGATGTGTGGATTACGGCTCTGCCTCTGCACAATGACAGACCCAGCCCTGGAAACAACTCACGTAAACTCCTCAAGTAGCCCTGCAGCCCAACTAACTGCCCACCGCTGTCCTAGAGATGGCACGGCCTCCAAGACACAACCTCCCCTCGCCCTGCAGGCAGAGGCATTCAGCCGCTAGCGCTCCTGGCTACAAGCAAGTGCCGCTGCAGGACAGCCAAGGCTGCCGAATCTTTCACTTCGAGCAGCTTTGGGGGCTTCATTGGCCAGGCTAATGTCCTGCCCCTCCCAGCCCCCCAGTGCACCAGCGAGCAAACCCCCGCGGAGCACCACAGCTTTGTCCCGGCTTCACTGGCGGTGCAGCAGGGCAGAGATGAAGCTGGCAGACCCCAAGGTGCCTGCGCCACACCGCTCAGCTCTTGTTCACAGACACGCTCGCAGACCAGGGGCCTCCACTGCCAGCTGGCCTTTGCTACACCAGGACCTGGGGGCACTGCCTAGGACTTGGATAGGTGAGCAAAATCTGGGGTCACGCTGGGTCAGGAAGCCAGGGGGTCAGTCCAGGGTTGAGCTGAGTCAGGAACCAGGAGATCAGACTAAGGCAGAGCTAAGGAGCGAGGTAGAGGGAGCTTCCAGGCAGTCTTGGGTCAGGTTGCCCTGTTGCCCTTACTAACATCTACTAATTAATTATAACAAGGTGTGGCAGGAGAGAACGCAGGTGGTTAGCCCAGACACAGATGGGCAGGCCACAGGGAAAGCGGCCCCAAGCAGGCCCCCTGTTACACCCTGCCAGAGACTTCAGAGTGGCTTTGACCAGCCTGCATGGGTAGTGACAGGGCGGCAGGGCAAGAAGCGCAGCCGTGGTCTTAGGCCAAGGCCCTCGGTTCAAAGTTGCAGCCTGACAACCTCATCCACAATTAAAGTCTGAGAGCACCTGTGTTCCCCTGCGCATCGAACTATTACTTGGCCGGCCATCTATTTTGGTTTGTTTAAATTCTGTTCAGGGCCAACAGATTCGGCGCCCTTTGAATATTTAGACAAATAGGTTTTTGTCTAACCCTGTCAAGCCTAGGCTGCCAGTGGCCTTGTGCAGAAGACCACCTTAGAAGGGGGTCTTAGTCTTATTCCTGGCAGAGGAAATGCTGCCAAAACATTGTGGCCCCAAAGTCCACTCCATAGTAGGAGAGGTCGGGTATTTAACCCAGGTCAGGGTGGCCATAGTTTTGGTGAAAAACACAGCTGTGGGGAAAGGAAAAGATTGCAGACAGGAGTCACTCCCTGGCTATTTTCAATGAACTCTTCAGAGTAAAAGTGCTTCCAAGTCCAGTGCTTTGTAGTGGCTTTCCATGATACTGCTCTATTGCACTGTAGGAAAAACAGCTGAAAAACAGCCCCGAGCCTACCACGGGTGCCAGGCAGGACCCAGCAGATCTGGGGTTCCCTGGCAACCCGAAGAGGACCAGCAGAAACCCCTGGCAGGACAAAGGAGTGATGGATACCCACAGTGGCGTGGGGGAGTGACAGAGACCCCTCCACGGAGCAATGGAAACCCCCAGCAGAGCAATGGACACCCCCTGGCATCATGGAGGAGCAGAGGAAACCCCCCAGCAGCATGGAGCGTTGGGGACCCCCAGCGGCACGGAGGAGTGGCAGAGACCCCCGGTGGAGTGACGGACACCCCCCAATGATGACTGTGAAGCTCAAGCTGAGCTGGGCCTACTTACAAAGGTTAAAATACAAAATATGGATGACAACTGCACAGTGCAAAAGGATGCAAGTTTGCGGCTGGACCTCTGAAAAGAAATAACAGGGCATCACTTGCAGCTTCTCTTTCTATATTTTTGAAGATTTTAAGCAGGCTTCTACGTGCCTGGTATGTGACAGCCAGAGGGGAGCCTGGGGGGTGGGGGTGTTGTGGGCTGCTTGGGGCTCCTTGCCCTGCTGCCCTTGCCCTGGGTGTCTGCAGCCCAGCAGGCAGGACCTGGTGCCGGAGACAGCGCTGCGCCACAACCTGTTCCACTGATGCTGTGTCCCCATTTGGGGTTGTGACCCGCAGTTTGGGAACCGCTGGATTAGGTCCCTGTTGGCTCCATGGGGCATCCCAGGTCAAGCTGTGCTCATTGCATTTCCCAGCCCCTCGGGTTTCATGGGGATCAACCCCAGACAGTGTGTGTGGGACACAGTCCGTTGCTCACCTGTCCTGTGGGAACAGAGATTTGGATACACAGCAGTGGTTGGAGCTGGGCGAATAATGTTGGATGAAACAGCTTGACCAAAAAATGTGGATCTGTGAAAATCAAAGCACTTTTGTGCGATCAAAGCACTTGGCTGGGATGATGCAGTTGGGGCTGGTCCTGCCTGGAGCAGGGGGTTAGACTAGGTGTGATCTCCTGAGATCCTTCCAACCCTCATTTTCTACGATTCTATGATCCACCCATTCTAATGAAATGTTTGGTAAGAAAAAGGGAAAACATTTCACTTTGATACATTTCATTCATTCTTTTATATTCTGCATGTCTATGTCTTAAAAATATTGGTCTCTGTCTGGGCAAGTCTCTAGTCAGAGATGTCCAGGAGAGTCCCCGGGTGCCACAGAGTCATGGTGTGGGGTGGCCCAAGAAGTGTTTCCATCTCTAATCCCAGGCCAAAATCAGTTCCTTATTCAAGCCATTATACTTAGTACAGCGGGCATGGGGGCTGTTAGTTGGCAGCCTGGCACGGCCAAACCATGCTTTGGGCCAGGCAGGACTGTAGTCATGGTTCCTTGGGACAGTCCCCCAGTGGCATTGACAGGAAATTTGGGGTGGCCCACGAAGTATTTTGCCCCATAATCCCATCCTAATCTGACCTTCATTTAGGGCTCTGTACTTGATGCGGGATATTATTTTACATATTACATATGTACATATGCATAGCTAATGAAATCACCTCTGTTTAGAATGTGCAATTCATTAATTACAAGTTTTTATTGGGTATAGATTAGCTTTGAAAAAGGCATCGGGAACCGGGAATAAGAAATAAAGAACTGGGAATAAGGAACCAACTTCAGTCTCATCTCCTTGCAAGTAGTATAAACACAGAGAACAACTTTATTACAGAAACAAAGGCAAAGAAAACAAAGGAAACACTAAATACAGTTTAAAACACTACCAACTACAAGGCACAGTTCACAGATTGCACCCTCTTGGGGTGGCTTCACCCATGCCCAGGCAGTCTGGGGCTTGGGGCTCACCCCAAGGGCAGTTACAGGGGACTGTACCCCGATACCCGCCCTTCAGCAATAAACTGCCGAGGGGGCTTCACCGAGGAGTCTTTTCAGCTTCTCCTTGGGTTTGCTGGGCCACGGGAAGCTCCTAACGTGCATGCATTTCCAGCCATAATCCCAGCCCAAAAGCCAATTCCTTATTCAAGCCCATATATTTAGTACCGTGTCTGGGGGGTGGGGGCTGTCACATTAACTCTGGCTCTAAATTCCCAGTCCCAATCCCAGCTCTTCTGGACAGACATTGCAAAAAGAAACTTCAAAGGAGAGGTCAGGCCCCTCTCACTGGGCCTGAACTGAGCAGCAAATGCCGGCCAGGCCTATACTGCACTGAGGCCTAAACCTATAGCTGGGGTTCAGCCATGCAGCGAGGCTGAAGCACCACAACTGCAGAAAGAGGAGAAGAAAAGGCCCAGGCCTATGGCTGTGGCCTGGACATCCAGTCTCAGCTGTACCCCATGTGCAGCGCCGCGGGGGCACATCTGCTTGCCAGCTCTCACGGCTTTCATCCTTGCTTTGCACCCACAGCCAGCCCTGGTCCTGCGGAGGGGGTGAGGGAAACCACAGCTGGCACATCAGCCTGGGCTTCAGGACCCCCAAAGAGGGATGAAGGCGTGGG